ACAATTACTTAATGATAGTAACTCAAGATTCTTGAGGTTGAACAAGCCCTCAGGTAAGAGCTTAAGATTTGGACAATCCGAAATCTCTAACTCTCTAAGATTTAGGATACTAAATAAGGCCAAATTTGGTAAATTTGTATCATCTTCAACACCAAAAATGATAGAATGATCTTTTTTTGTCTTTAAAGATTCACTGAATGACGTTAAATTGACATAATTTTCTATCTTTAGGTGTCTGATAGTGGCAGGTAACTTGTCCATTGGAAAGGAAAAGAGTGAAGAACAACCTTCTATCAACAAGGATTCAATGGACAAACCTTTTTGTTCCATCAATACCTTGAGTACTAATTCTGAATTTGGGCAATTCACTATCTTCAATTTTTTAAGAGAGTTGGGTTTTAAAGCTGGAGTAAACTAAGGAAAGAGGACCAAAATCAGACGTGAGAGAGAGCTGTAGAGAGAGAAAATCTGAACTGAAATTTGCTCTATTTTACATTAAAAAATAGGGGTAGTTTTATACAAAGCACACGCCATTATTTCACCTGAAGCTGCATATTTAAAATTTAAACTAAACACACCAACTAATGCACGTAACAAACATATCAAAACACATTGTTTTATCAACCTAATTCACCTAAACACATCACTGAAATATTTCTTAAACAATGACAAAAAACAACTTCTGCATGCACAACAACATTTCAAACCGTGGAGCCAAAATCTTGCAACTCCCACTGTGTGTTGACTTCATCATTTCCAGCAAGATATCATCATCTTCAATACTCCTTCTTGATATCATTGCTGGAAACACCAAGTCTGAATTGAAGATATTCAAACTTTGCTTTGGACAATGGCTTAGTCATTATATCAGCAACCTGTTCTTCTCTATTAAAGAGAACTCCTCCTTCATTGCAGCTTCTCCACCCATCAGATTTGACTACCTCATTGTAGCTTGTTGGTTCTAACTCAACCACATTGCACCTCTCATAAATTTTAGACATTGGCTTTGCACCTTTGACTGGAACTTCATCTGAATTCACTTCTTCAATCTAACTTGTGGGCATTCTATCTTGCTGGAAGCTTGGCTTGACTTTCACCTGATTTTTTTTCCAATTCCAAACAACACATTCGTCCACCTTGACATCTCTACTAACTATGTTAGCTAAATGGTTTTGAAAAACAACCTTTCCCCACTCTACAGGGAAGTTTTTTTCCTTGCATCTTAACTCTCATTAACTCATTCCCATCACATTGTATAATGACACATGCTAAGTTTTTAAAAAGTAGAGAGTAATTCCTCACAAGTATTTGTCCTACACTAAGTAGGTTTTGACTGATTTTAGGAACAAATAAAATATCAGATATAATCTTGATATCTGACTTGGTTTGGCCAGAAACATTTCCCTTGCCTTTCACCTTCAATAGCTCTTCATTTCCCACTTTAACTTTAGACTTGTAGCTTTGATCTAAGCTCATGAAATTGGACATGTTTGGTGACATATGGTTGGTGCAACCACTGTCAATTAACCACACCTCTTGATCAAAATCAGCTACACATCCTGAAGCCACAAACAACTGCTCAGGTTCTTGAGTCTACTATTAATTCTCCATTGCCTGGGGTTGATGCTCCTGCTGCCCTCTTTTATTCTTGCACACCCTTTCTACACGTCCAAAGTGCTTACAAGACCTGCATTGTATGCCAGGCTTGAACCAACATCTATTTTCAGAGTGATTCTTTTTCTTGCAATGAGGACAAGGAGGAAAGGTTCTTAGTCTCGCATTTTTTCCTCCTTCGTTGTTAACTTCCTCCTTTCCCTTCTCTCTAGCATACCTCCTGTTTTGGCTTGCTATCATGACTCCTTCACTTGAGTCTTCTTGCCTTAGCAACCTCCTCTGCTTTTGTGCTTGAAGAGCATGCACAAGTTCTGCTAAGCTGATCTGGGACAGGTCTTTGGAGTCTTCAAGTGAAGAGATTTTTGCCTCAAATCTCTCAGGTAAACTGACCAAAACCTTCTCTACTATCCTCTTGTCAGTCAATTATTCACCAAGTAGCTTAATCTTATTCACCACATTCATCAGCCTATCTATATACTCCTTGATAGACTCAGCCTCTTGCATCTTAAGCATCTCAAATTCTCTTCTCAGGTTTAGAATCTGCATGTTACGTGTTGTATTACTGCTCCCAAATTCCTCTTTAAGCTTATCCCAAGCCTCTTTAGGAGTTTCACACGCCATAATCCTAGTGAAGAGTTGGTTTGTCACTGCTGAATGTATGTAAGATAAGGCCCTTGGTGCTTTAGACATCTCCTCTTCATGAATCCTGATTTGGTTTAGTGTTGGGTTTGCTCCCAACTGAGGAACTTGCTTCTTATCCTCCACGTATTGCCATAACCCATGGCCTCTTAAATAAGTCTTCCTCTTGACAGCCGATACATGGAACTGATCTCCATTGAAGGTGGGTGGAGAAAGTGAAGCTGGAATTGCTACCATGAAGATAATTATGTATGGTGTTGAGTTTTGTTAAGAGGTTTTTGTTTTTCCAAGTCTTGAAAGATCACAACAGCTTTGATACCAATTGTTGGTTTTTAGAGCTGGAGTATACTGAGGAAAAAGGACCAAAATCAGAAGTGAGAGAGAGTTGTAGAGAGAGAAAATTTGAACTGAAATTTGCTCTGTTTTACATTCAAAAAACAGAGGTAGTTTTATACAAAGCACATGCCATTGTTCCACCTGAAGCTGCAAATTTAAAATTTAAACTAAACACACCAACTAATGCACGTAACAAACATATCAAAACACATCATTTTATCAACCTAATTCACCTAAACACACCACTGAAATATTTCTTAAACAGTGACCAAAAACAACTTCTGCATGCACAGCAGCATTTCAAACCGTGGCACCAAAATCTTGCAACTCCCACCGTGTGTTGACTTCATCATTTCCAGCAAGATATCATCATCTTCAACAGGATTGAGCGAGAGAGAAAGAAACAACTATTGAACTCCAAAGACTCAAGAGAGGTGAGTTCCAGCAGGTGAAGATGGAGAACAAGATCGGGACATTTACTGATCTTAAGTTGTTTAAGAGTAGTGCCAAATGGCTTGTATTCCAGCAAGTATGCCAAAGAGGAATTGCTATTGATTTCCAAGAATTCAAGACTCTCAAATGTTGGGAGATGTATATCAAAATTTAGTGCCAAATACCATGGGTCAATAAGCAACACACTAATTTTCCCTCCTCCAAGATCATAGGGTATTCCAGGGTTTTCTGTTCTGCATAACCAAAAAAAAAAAAATAAAAAAAAAAATAGAACTGCAAATATATTACTTTGTATATTTGAAGAACAGAAATAAGATGGGCACAAAACATTCGACAATACCAAAATGCTTGTGAAAGTCTACAGTGAAATCTGCCTTCACCTCAATTGGTGCACATTTACTCTTGGCTTCAGTCGTTGAAGGCATCTAATCCATTTCCATGAACACCCAAAGAGTTATGATTCAGTATGGCTATACAGAAGTACAAAGATATAACCAATCTACCAAAGAATAATAGAAAAGAAAGCCAAAGAATGACTATTACCTAGGTCTAAATCCACAAGCAAAAAATTGGTCAAGCAAATTTTGCTTGTTCTGGGACATTGGCCCAACCAAAAAAAAAAAAGTTAAATAAATTAGACAATTCAACTAAATAATTTTGTTCATTATATTATAACATCAACCACAAAGTTGAATAAGAAAAAAAAAGTAAAAGTAAACGAATGAATGTAAACTTATACTCGTGAAACTAATAAACAAGTGAAAGAAAATTAATTAGACCTTGAAACTTTCAATTTATCTAAACTGTTGTGTTTCAACTTTCAACGTTACCTTGTACTAAGAGCCTCAAAATAAACATATAAAAACAATCGTTTAACCTAAAACCTCTCAATTTCAGGAATCGTAAAGTTTCTCATTCTCACTTTCTCAATTTTGTCCGCAACAAGAAGTAATAAAAAGATTACAAGAAAAGTTACAACAACCCCAAGTGCACCCTAGCTAATAAATAATCTTTTATGTAAAGTCTAAAATACCCATAACAAAAAGGAATTTTAAAAATCAAAGAATTGATATAGTCTCAAAATTAAAATGAAACCGGAAAACACTTCATCTACACCTCTATATATCCAACGGACACATCAACAATCTTCATTACCAATTCTTGTCAGTGTGGTTTTTAATTTGTTGGTGGTGTTGGCTAATTTAACGGTGGTGCTGCTGGTTGCTGTCATGGTGATCAAATTTCTACTGTTTTTGAGGAGCTACTATAACAAGGGTGGACAGGGGAATTTTTTTAAAAAAAATTTGGCTCCTAACGGTGGCGGTGGGCTGTGGCGGCTAATGTTGTGGTGATTCCATTAAAGAGATGGTGTAACAGGATGCACTAGTGGTAGGATGAGTATTAAGATATATAATTAAGATGTATGATTTTAGGTTCGAATCTCTTAAGCTCCCAAGATTTAAATGAGGGGTCGTGGTGGTGGGCTATTGCATTAGTTTCCATTAAGGATTAGTTGATGTATACATAAGTTAGTCCGAACACCTTGATTTAAAAAAAAAAAAAAAGTGTGACAGTAGAGGGAATTTGTTGGGGATAAATAAGTATGTTTAAACCGTCATGTTTAAACCGTCCGAAATCTTTTGACGGTGCTATGTTTGTTTCTAGGTTTAAGTTGAAGGTGAAGAACCTCAGGCTTGGGGGTAATGGGCCGGAGTCCACGTGGTATCTCCATATGGACAAAATTTTGGCCTCAACCCAAATAATTCTTTCATATACAATCATCCAACGGGATGAACACCTCGGTTTTAATCTCAAAAGGTATTGGTTCTGTACTTCTGTAAATTACTTTTTCCTAATTACTAAACTGAAATCGGAGTCTCTGTTGTGTCTTCTCCCGCTGGCGCCACTGGTACTTTGTAAACTGTACTAGTGTCTTGGCTGCCGACAGCGAGGCGCCCATGGAATTGACAACTTCCGGTTGTCGGTCACCGTCGAAGAAGAGAAGCGCGAAACCTCCTACGACTATCGAGTTCCTCGATCGCGACATCCTTTGTACAATCTTCTCATCTCTCGGACTCTTCGACCTTGTTCGATGCTCTCTCGTTTGCAAGACCTGGTAAAATATCTTCATAACTGGATAATAAACTATTTATTAAAATTAATCACGTTGACTATAGCAAAAATGTAATTGACTTTGATATTATTTCTTTTGATGAAGGAATGCGATAATTAGTAGATGTAAGCTACTGCAAGCACTGTATTACAAGCTGCAGAATGATTCACGTGGCTTTTCCAATACTTCGAGTTCTTCAATGAGGATGTATCTGGAGGAGCTTGCTATGAACCATCATAGGTTGTCTTTGGTCAAAGGACGCATTGACATCAATCAATGGAACGGCCATTCATCCCCGTAATAACCTATCACACTTGTTTTATTTTGATTTGCATGGAATTTTAATTCGATTGTACTTTTAGACGTTGAAAACATTTTAAACAGCTAAAATGTCACTCAAAGTTACAGTTATTTACAAGTCAATTTGCTGAAAGTCTGGAACTAATACCGCATTGGTGCTTACTTATAAGAGGCCTTTATATTTTTTTTAAATGGTTCAAGTTTCATTTTTTTATGAAACCGGTTATTATGTCAAGGGGATTTGGTTATGACAAGAGGATGAACCTGCTTAGCCACCGAACTTGTGTGGATTGGTTTTAGAAGTGGTTTAATAAGGAATCATAATTGAAAAATACAATGAGATGGGTGGGATTGAAAAGAAGGGGGTAGGTTGAGGAGATGAGTAAAGCATTGAGAGGAGTGTTGGCCGAGTTTGCATTATTCTTAGGCCTCCCCTATGGTCTTAATCATTGCAAAACTCTGTTGCCATGATAGAAAACACAATGAAATATTGCTTTTAACCGATATTGAATCTTATGTCTTCTCTTTTGGGTATGCATAGGCATATGGATTGTGTGTATTGCGTTTTAAAAGTGCTTTCTTTTAGGGTTGATCAGTGCCGTATGAAGAGAGGCTTGATTCTTACTGGTGTAGGTGATCAGGTATGATCCCATAAAAACTAACTGCTTCACCATCCTTAATTGTTGTATTTAAATTAAAAGACAGCTTTCTGTTAATACTTTACTAATGTGATTTTTACCCAAACACTTAATAGAATTCTTAGTATCTCTGACTTTTTTTTGGGGTATGTTATAGATGATAAGTCTTATTGATCTTTTCTGTCTGTTCTATCTGTGCGTAATATAATAATCACAGAAAAAAGGATTCATGATGACCTAGAATGCCTTAATTTGTTTGATAATCTAGAAGGTCTTAATGGGAATGTGAATCCAATAAAATATCAGATGGTTTCCAAAATCAATAAAGTTAATGTGAGACTATAGGTGTATTGGGCGTCTATCAGGCTGTGTCTATGATCAATCATTTTTGGTGTTTATGTCACTCATTTTTAGACATATCCTTTCAACGTAAATGTTAACTTTGTTTTGTAACAGAATCTGCGTTTGATATGTCGGGTTCCAGGTCAATAAAAGTGATGTACTATCTAGTTTACTTTCATGTGCTTTCCTTACTAGATGAATTTTGTTCTACAGTTTTATTCTTCTAACAGTCTTGGATGGCAACGATCTTAGGTTATGCGTCTCTGGTCATTAGAAAGCTACAAATGTGTGGAAGAGTATTCCATTCCGGGTAGAGTCTCGCTGGTCGACTTTGATTTTGACGAGAGCAAGGTAACTCAGAAAAAAATTCATACCCTTTTTATTGGAAAACATTTCATGTATGTAAGACTTGACTTGACTCTACTGCTTTCCTTTCCCTTTTTCAACTCTTTAACATGAAAGGGAAGGCTACCATTATATAAATAGTCAAATTTAATATGTTTAGAAACACCATTATCTGCTGTCAAAATCTGAGAGCCTGAATATTCTATGTTGGTGTTATATGCCGTATCATTGCTCTTCTTTTTAGAGGATTAGTAAGGTCATGAATACACGTCCAATTCACTGAATCATAAACACATGGGATCAAGTGGTGATATTGTCCCTTGTGATCAGAACCTCTTTTTTCTTAGGCAAATTTGTTTTATTTAGATGTAAATGCGATAAATCATTTCAACTTGATTTGTGAATAAGATGGGAATAACCTTGTTTCCAGGTTACTTTAAGTTGAAGGTAAGGAAACGAATACACCTCCATTTTTTCTGTTTTATTGTGAATTGGCCTTTCATGAAAAGGATGCGATTTTCGTATTGTTATACTAAAATGTTGGGATTCCTTTAACATTTTGTGCTCTGGTGAAAATCTCTAATTTTTCATCAAATTATCATTTTCAGATTGTTGGGTTGGTTGGCACTCGTATATGCATATGGAGGCGTAATGGCACAATGAGTGTATTTCCCTCACGTGAAGGAACATTCATGAAGGGTTTATGTATGCGGTATGGAGACATGCCTTCAAATTGTGTTTATTGATTACATTATTAATATGTATCTATGTTAGTATTGTGACAAGGAGTAACAAAATTGTGTGGCCAAATATGCTATGCATTCTATTGCATGTACAATATCTGGTGCAAAACTGCAGTTATAGGTGCAAGAGTGAAACAGGATTCTTAATGCACGGTGTTTCTACATTGAGCATTATTTTTTCACTCCAAGCATCATAACTCAGTAATATTTTAATATGTAAGTTCTGATTTACGAATCTAACCTGTTTGAATATATTTGTTCTGCCTTGCATTTGAAGGTGAAAACTTTACATTCTAATGGAACCATAAACATTCTAAGATATTATTATCAGACATAAACTGCTATGCTACAATGCACAATCATTTTGATTTGTTTTCTTTATGTCTGAATCAGTGCAGCTGATTTGGTTTTTTCCTATTTTATAGTTACTTTGATCCAGAGGCTGTCGTTGGATGTGAAGATGGAACTGCCCGTGTGTTTGACATGTATAGTAGGAAATGTTCTCGTATCATTAGGTATGTACTGTCAGAAATTTGTAAATTTTGTTCCTTGCCAGTATTTTAGAAAATTTTAATTAGTCAAGTTAACTTTCTTTAAGTAATTACAGATAATCTCTCTGAACATCTACGTTTCTGAACTTCGTCAAAAATGCATATTTACTATTTCTGAGGCTTATAGATTTCTTATGGTATTATTTTGGTCTCCAAATTGCAGGATGCATGCTGCACCTGTAACATGCTTGTCTTTGAGTGAGGATCAGTTAATTATTAGCGGATCCTCCAATGGCAGTATCACTATTTCTGGTCTCTCATCTGATCAGCCGGTAGCTAAACTAAGATCAGCCTATTCGACAGGTTGTATATGCCGACTGTGTGAAGAACTTCTTTTGAGCTTATTGATTAGCTCCCTACTTTTTTCATTTTTTGCTCCTTGAATAAAATTTCTTTACTTAAAATAATGCAATATCATGTTCAATGGTTTTATAGTCTGCAAGTGATTTCTTAGATATTATTTCATCTTAACCTGATAGGTATATAAGACCTTGTGTTACAATCCACGTTCTCATCAAGTGTTTGCTGGAACTACTGCTGGATACGTGGCTTGCTGGGAGCTTAGGTATGCAAATGATGTTACTTTACAGGCTAGTTGATTGCTAAAATTCTACAACTGGTTTTTAAGTTTTAAAACCTTAGACAAATTGACTATCACCAATTTCAAATGTGAGGTTTGCATGCAGATTCCTTCAAAATTAATGACTCAAGAAACGAATTGAAGAAACGTTTATTGTTTGGTTACTATAAATCTGTTGTAGGTGATAGGTAAAGATAAGTTATCTACTGTAAGTTCCTTTGTGTAAGTACAAAGCATGCAACTATCTAAACATGACAATTAACAGTTGATTGACCTCTTTGGTACTGGGCTTGTAAGGTGCTAGTGTTGAAACTAGCCATACTGAAGAAACAAAATGTATGTGAATCTGTTCATTGTCAAGGTTGTGCTGTTTGGCCAACTGCCATTTTGAGCAAGTCGAACCGTTTAATATAACACAGCGAACCAACAGCAAAGACATTCATTAGAAAAGTGCTGGTGGCCTTTTAGTTTGTTTTAGCTTTGACACAACGTAAAGATTTCGAGGATGAACATATTTCTCACTTCCTCCTGGTCAGACTTGTCAAGTTCTTGAGACGTTCTTGCCTCGACACCGGCATTTTTCTGGATCTTCTCCTAAGTCAAATTAACAATGAGTTTCATTTATCTCGCACAAAATCCTATTACATATCTCTAGGGCATTCACACATTACATTGAATTATTTGAAATGAAAAAAAAAAATACTTGATGTTTACTATCATTTTCACAATCGTTTTTGCCTCTCTGCTTTAATGTAGCTGTTCCTTTTGGTGCTTCTTCTTCTGCTTCCTCCTCTTCTTCAACATTATGTTCATCTTTGAAGTGTTTGTATAACTGGGTACGAGAACCAACAAAATTGTAGTCTGACGTGGGCATGAGCTGGTGCATATATTGCATGGATACATAAACATATTAACACGTGCTAGGATTATTGTGTTAAACATCACCCACATGTTGCCCAGGTTGTTTTTTGGTTCCATTTTTAGCATCCTTGAGGGCTTTTACTACTTGATATGATCCTTCCCTGTTCATTAATCAGCCTTTCATTAACCTCCTGCATCTCGCACAAGCGGTTTATGCAGTTTCTGGCAGGTTTATGAAACTTCTTTTTTTTTTCTGAAACTTCAGAATTTCATCAATACCGTGGATCACTAATTCTGTATTTGTACAATTAATAATCTTCATTTTTTAAGTGTAATAGCTCGGATTGACCAAGAGAGAAAGAAACAACCATTAATTCTAAAATTCAAGAGAAGTGAGTTTCATCAGGTTAAGCTGAGATCAAACCTGGATATTTACAGTGTATGTTGTCATCCCACGTAAAAGTTAGCTTGTAGGTGAAAGCTTAACATATATTTATCAATAACTGATCATCAATTGTTAAGAGCAGTACAAATGGTTTGTATTCCAATTTCCAGCAAGTATGCCAAAAAGAATTTCTTTTGATTTCCAGCATTCAAGCTCACCTGCGGCATACCACACAATATTCTTTTTCTAACGGTTATCTTCACCCAATGCATCTCTTTCAATTTACTCTAAACACTAGTATAATATGAAATTATTAGAAAAATGTTAAGAATAAACCATATAAAATAGTACTTCAAAACATGTATAGAACATCTGTTGCTGGATTATGTTGTGTTTGAGTTCAAAGTATGTACAAATTTTAAGCTTTAAAAGAAATTAAACCTTAAAAACATGCAGAATCAACCTTTGATAAAAGAGTAAAAATTCAAGAAAAAACTATATTATAATATCATCCAGAAAGCTTAATAAAAACAAGAAGCGACTAGTTAATCTTAGTGTTGGCTATATCAAAGTTGTCCTCATCCTCATACACAAAGTTTTGTAGGTGGCATCCCCATATAATGTTTTCTTTTAAGATGCTTGGTCCATGCAGCCGCCACTTACAGACTTGAATATGGGATTTGAGTGAAAAGTACCTTGAACTTGCGACCCTTTTCTATTATTTGGATAAGACCTTCCTTGTTGACGAAACCAACCCTTTGGGCATCTTTCCCACCCAAGCCAACCCTTTCCTCAGCTGATCAAGAAACTTTTTTTAAAAACGGAAGTGAAATTATGAACCTGCAGAGTGAAATCATCACCAACTATCCTCCGCAAAATTGAAGAAAATAAGCAGAGAATCCATCTGGACCAGGGGCTTTTATCAGAGCCTATGGAGATAGGCTTCCACACTTCATCTCTAGTCAACTCTTTGTAAGCATAAGTCTTTCACAATCAGCCACATATATCGTTTCCAAATTTGGGGGCAAACATCCTCTGGAAAGGACACAAGACGAGGACAAACGAAAAGACTTAATGTGTGAAGCGATCTGAACTCATCTAAATAATTGGGAAGAGACTTCAGACTGTAACATGAAAAAATTAAAAGCGTTTCAGGCTGGTACTGGGCAACCCTTCTTCTGGGAAAACACACAGACTAAAGCAATTACTCAATGACAGTAGCTCAAGATTCTTGAGGTTGAACAAGCCCTCAGGTAAGAGCTTAAGATTTGGACAATCCAAATCTCTAACCTCTAAGATTTAGGGTACTAAATAAGGCCAAATTTGTAAATTTGAATCATCTTCAACACCAAAATGACAAATGATCTTTTTCTATCTTCAAAGATTCACTGAATACGTTAAATTGACCAATTTTCTATCTTTAGGTGTTGATAGTGGCAGGTAACTTGTCCATTGGAAAGGAAAAGAGTGAAGAACAACCTTCTTCAACAAGGATTCAATGGACAACCTTTTGTTCCATCAATACCTTGAGTACTATTCTGAATTTGGCAATTCACGATCTTCAATTTTTTAAGAGTGAGAGGAAAATTCTTGGATTGAGCAAGAGAGAAAGAAACAACTATTGAACTCCAAAGACTCAAGAGAGGTGAGTTCCATCAGGTGAAGATGGAGAACAAGGCCGGACATTTACTGATCTTAAGTTGTTTAAGAGCAGTGCCAAATGGCTTGTATTCCAGTAAGTATGCCAAAGAGGAATTCTATTGATTTCCAAGAATTCAAGATTCTCACATGTTGGGAGATTATATATCAAAATCTAGTGGCCAGATACCATGGGTCAATAAGCAACGCACAAATTTTCCCTCTTCGAATCATAGGTATTCCAGAGTTTTCTGTTCTGCATACAAAAAAAAAAAAAAATTGAACGCAAATATATTACTTGTATATAAAGAATGCAAAACTAAGTTTTTATCTCATTGGGTGATTTAACAAGTGCCCCAGCTATTAGGCAGGTGTCTTATAGACTTGTCTACAGTCTTATTCAACCTCAGTGAAGAATGAATCATGTAAACACATGGGAGAAACATGAATTTGAAGAACAAAAAAGATGGCACAAAACACTGGACAATACCAGAATTCTTGTGAAAGTCTGCGTGAAATCTGCCTTCACCTCAATTGGTGCACATTTACTCTGGCTTCAGTTGTTGAAAGCATCTAATCCATTTCCACGAACACCCAAAGAGTTATGAATCAGTTTGGCTATACAGAAGTACAAGACATAACCAATCTACCAAACAAATATTCAACATGGGGGGCGGGGAAGAAAAGAAGAGAGAGGAGAGAGAGAGAGAGAGAGAGACAAGAATTCAAATGTTACCCAAAAAAAAAAAAAAAATCTATCTTCAGGTAATATCTTTGCCGGAAACCTTATTTCTCAGAATACCAAAATACTAATACAAAGAAAAGAGTCATGTTTAGCCAGGATTACTTGTGATGCTAGCAAGAGAAATCAAATAATAAGAAGAAAGCCAAGAATGACTATTACCTAAGTCCAAATCCACAAGCCAGTGACCACCACCATATGGACTGGACTGCGTGGGAATCATTTAATTACCCCGGCCCCTTAGGCCTGTGTTGTGCATAGGATTAGATGGATCTGGACTGAAGTATGGCTGTGGTAAAACTAGATTGGATTAAAATAATCATGTGCTTGGTACAAGACATGTCTAAGAGCTGCTGTCCTATTAAAAGACTGCTAAGAAGTGGGACCATCACAATGTAGTGCTACCCTTTGTTTGTGTACAGTCAGGTGGGACTATCTAACCTCCCCCCCCCCTAAAATAAGAATACGTGATTAATCCCCTAAAAAAAAGTTCTAGCAGATTCAATAAGGTTTGCCTGTTTTGGGACCCCCAAAAACAATCAAACAAGTTAACTAAATTAGACAATTCACCAAACAATTTTGTGTCATTAATTATAACACCATCCCCAAAGTTGAAAAAAAACAAGAACAACTAATAATCTTAGTGTATGACTATAGCAAAGTTGTCCTCATCTCATACACAAAGTTTATAGTTCACAAAAACACAATAAAAAAGTTATACCGGTCATCATCATGATCACATCAAATGATTTGAATAATATACTTACAGCTATGTTTTTAACATACCCTCCATAGACATTGTTTTAACTAGGGATACTTTAGGTGGTGTAACTCTTGCTTGACTCCTACTATTCCCACTTTATCATCACCCCATAAGAGCTTATCTTCAGTATCCATTCCTAGATAGGTAACATGTAATTCATCAATAAAACAAGAAAATATATTCATTAATTTGGATAAAATATAATTTATATTCAATTAATGGTAACAGACAATTGATGCATGAAGATGACATAACTTAGACATTTAACACAAATAAAACAAGACAAAAATTGCAAAACCAAAATGTTTGAAGTAGAGAGAAAATTAATATTAACTTTAAAGTGATTAATTTCGATTCACTGAGATTTTGTAAAACAATTTCAGATATTGAAGTATTGGTATCGAAAGCTGAGAATGACAGCTTTTTGTAAAAATCTTTCTAAAGTTTCATCAATCAAAGATGAATTACTATTTTATAGATGAAACGCTTCAAATATTTTGTACAAGGTTTTGATTCCCAACTCATAGAAGAAGCAAAAGACATAAAGAAAAACAAATAACAAGGGAAGAAATTAATTAAGCCTTGAAACATTCAAT